TATTCGTTATTCGTTATTCGTTATTCGTTATTCGTTATTCGTTATTCATTATTCGTTATTCGTGAATACAATTCTGCCCCATACACGTATCGTCCACTCATCAGACCTTATCTTCCACCGTCCGAATTTCCCCGAAACTTTATTTCCTTGACCAGTCATTGCACTCCCTTGCGCAACGGTTTCGATCCGAAAAGGAGAGAATTACGCATCGAGACCCGGTGACGCAGGTGAATAGGGCGTTACACCCAAGTGGTTAGAGTGAAAGGCCGGCCGAGAGCCACAGGGCCAGATCTTGAACGGTGGAGGTGCATTCAGTTGCACAGAATAATTGCACTTGACACCCCGAGGGTTCCCACCGGACCCAGAATACTTTTGCCATTGTACAGGGGCCAACAATGTATCAGCAGGTAGCTGCGATCATCGATCGGGGAGCACCCTCGGTCAATGCCCTTGCAATCCTACCGAACCACAGGCCCTTTTATATACACGGAATGTATACAACGGTGCTAATCAAAATCAGACACTCCTTCCACGCTTTTTTCACGTTGTTCCATTGCATATCTTCGCCCTCTAACCTACAAATTTTTTCATTCAGTACTTTTTAACTGTTTTTTCTTTTTTTTCTTTTTACGAGTTTTTCTGTCAATTGCAGCCTACGTATTTCTTCAATTAACAAAATTCTGTTCTTTTGTTGATATTTCACGTGACTGATTAAGTTTGATACAGAATTAGTTAATTTATGTTTAGACTTATAGTTAGGTTAGAGTTCTATTAGAATTATTGTCGGGTTCGTGGCGATAGTGCACTTTGGCTTACAGCAGAATTATAGTTCTAGTGAGTTCTAGTCTACAGTGCCAAGTGGTGAGATAGCGACGTAGATGGAGAAGGCTACGAGGCACGATCAGGGCTGCACAAATTAGTGCGTTTTTGGTGGCGCGGGTCCACTTAACGGAGCATCCACCCTGCGCGACGGATTTAGCAGCAGGCTGCTCCCTCTTGTCTTAAAACGACCGGATACTCCGTAAAAAAAAAAAACACGTAGGACCAGCGAAAAAGCTTCCAGGGACCGCCATGGATCCGTCCTGAATAGCGATCCTCTAGGTAAAGAAAATCGAAGGGAGAAAATGCATCGTGATCGAAAATTGTTTATAAAAATTATTTTTCGCTTCCTCGGTCAAAATGAAGCACTTTTTGTTAAATAATATATAGAAGTAACTTTGATGGTTTACGTGGAAAAAATTCTTAAAGAAAAATAATGGTCAACGAATTCAGGAGAAATTCTCGATTAAAATGGGAAAAATCGTAACTCCTGATTGGGTGGACGGATTTCAATTATCGAAACGGGAAATTGCGAGTCTTTTGTTAAAGAAGCGAAGTAATTGTTGAAAGGAAGACGGTTGAATAATTTTTTTAGGTGAACTGGGAAAAGCATCTGGGAATGTATTAGCGATAAGTATAGGAACGTTGCACATTATCTATCGCGAGCAAAGCGATGATAGAGGGATACCGACTGTTTACTTATCGGGTCTACAGATAGCGAGGAAGTCCCGATTCTCGCGTATTTTCTCTCCAACCTAAGACGCTTTCTTGTGTTCACGAATCTTCGTTTCATATAACTGTAGAAATGCGATACTTTCCAGAACCTTATTTTGATTTTTCTTATCGTACCTGTTTTACCGACTGCCCCTTCGTCGTCCGAACTTTCTTGCTGCGACTCCTGGCAACCGTTGCACATCTTCTAACCTCTAAATCTGCTATCGCGTATAAGTTTTGTTTGTAGCATACCTTCCTCTTATTTTTCATAACCTACCTTTATTTATCTTTAAATCATCGAATATCTCCGAACAGATCGATTTCATGACAAATTTCCACGAATCCTTTTTTGTAGATAATTTAATTCTCTACAAAAAAGCTCCCTTGCATACATTTCGGGAATCAATGCTTTAAGAGTTACTTCCGGAAAACTAATTTTTAAATATTTCAGATAGGTTAGAAACCCAAATAATCGAATATCTCCGAAAAGATCGATTTCGTGACAAATTTCCATGAATCCTTTTTTGTAGATAATTTAATTCTCTACGAAAAAGCTCCCTTGCATAAACGTCGAAAAACCAATATTTCGCGAGTTATGCCCGGTATAAAGCGACGTATGTAGGCGTACGTTTTCAGTGGGGAAACTTTCCCATGAGTCTAGACCGTTTTCGACCGAAAAAGGTGGATGCTAGCAGCTTTTGAATCCCTCGCGAGAACCTGTTTCTCTCCGTATGCGTTTCCCCGTGCAGTTCGTAGACCCTAACATGATTTCGACGTTCCCCCAAATCTCATGGAAAACGAGACGAAAATTTTGCTGTAGGAACCATTCATATTTCCAATCGCTAATGCTCGTTTGCCTTAAAGCAAACATGCTCCTAATCTGTGTTAGAAAATGCATTTTCAGAAAATTCGACCGCGACCTCGAAAGTGTGACGAACTTTTAATGCGCGCACGCACACATACGAACACATACGCACACTTGTGAGCGAAACAGCCTGGGCATCGCGTACACGCATTACCCCCACTTTCTCCGCGCACACGCAGCAGTCGCTTCCTGTTTATCAGAAGCTCGCGAAGTATGGGTCGAAAATATGCGCCTTGGATTCCCTTATTCGCCTTATCTTGAGTTCGTGCAGCGAAAGAAGAACACGATAAATGGAAGCGATAGCGAGGTACCTTAAAGAAAATACAGTACAGATATCGTAGATAGAATAGAGTCATACGAGTCATAGGAGTCGTGCTAGAGTTGAAAAGAGAAGAAAAATCGCATTGCGGTTAGGACATGTGTGCACGTGCACCGGGATCTTTCTTGGATTAAATTCGCCTAATTCTCGATCGTATCGTAATATTTTATCGTTGAGAGTTTTATGTAACGCATATATACTGTATAAATGCGTATACTAGGTGTGCAGGTTTCATAAATTCGTGATATATACGAAGCGAACTCGGCAGCCATTGATAGTCGCACGCGCATGCGCTGGAAGACGAAGATAGGCAGAGGGTGGGTCCTTGTCTAGCGTTACCATGCGTCAAGCGCCAGGGATAGAAGGAGAAGGAAAATCGCAGTGCGCTATCCGTCCTTGTCTACCAGCGCATGCGTCCAAGCGCGCGCCTTTTGAACACCTCCTCTCGTTAACTTTAACTCTTTATTCTCTTAATTCGCTTAGCTTTCGATTGTTTTGTAATATTTCACATAAATTGCATTAATGCGCGATAGAACAGACTCGATAGCTAACTCTATAGTTAACAACACTTTAATTTTTCCCACGCGTGCAAAATTGTATTAACAGTCAGAGATAAAGGATCGCGATGTTCCCTTCTCTTTCTAACGGCGGGACATCTCGATTACGTCTTTCCTGTTCTAACCTATGACGCATCTATGCGCGCTCGTCGTGCAACAAGGATGTATGCGTGAACGCTACGAGCTCTAGGCGAAGAAAAAAAGCAGGAAAGGAGGAGGAGGGGGAATGCGAAGCTGCTAAGGTGAATCCCTGTACCGTTGCGCCATAGAAAGAAATTCCATATCCGACGCCGCCAGCCGAATGCCGTCTCTCTCTCCCCCTCCACCCTCCTCTACACCCCGTTCCCGAAAACGTGGAGCCACGCTAATTTACGGAATTCGATGCCTTGTTATTATTTCCGTCTCCGAGTAACGTCGAACCTGAATTCGGGCTACGAATTCTATACACGTAAATGTATATAAAATTTACACGTATTAAAGTTTAATAATTACGAGGTTAGGAGACTTGGTTATCGAGGGAATTGGTAGTTTAAACTGTTAAAGTTTAACGTAACGAAGCGACGAGTAAATATATTTTTGATGGACGTTGCCTGTTGCAAATATAATATTTTGTTTATTGTTATTCTCCTATAATTGTTGCAACTTGCAATCTGTTAGAAGTATAGTAAGCAAAATTGTATGACTACTGAAATTTTTATATACAGGGTGTGCTAACAATGTTGGAGGTCCTTGAAAAGGGTGACTCGGGGGGTGATTTGAAACAACTTTTTCCTTAGCGAAAACGTTGTCCGAGGCTTCGTTGAGGAGATATTAACGGAAAACCACGACCAATCAGAGCGCGAGTATGCCGGTGAAGCGCGTCTCGGTAGCGTTGGCTACACGCTAAGCAGCCGCGCTCCCCAACCAATCAGCGGGCGCTCCAATGGCATACTCGCGCTCTGATTGGTCGGGGTTTTCTGTTAATATCTCCTCAACGAAGCCTCGGACAACATTTTCGCTAAGGAAAAAGTTGTTTCAAATCACCTCCCGAACCATCCCTTTCAATGACCTCCACCATTTTTGGGACACCTTGTATAAATAAATTATGATCAGGTCGGAACTCAAATAGTGCTATGAAGTTATAAACTATAACAGAGTTTATAAATTAATCATTGTAGATTAAAATTATATGCAAACTTTCGATTATTTAATTATTAGACGTCTGTTCTATTATCATTATTATTATTATTATTTTTATTATTATTATTATTATTATTTATTAAGAAAACGTTGCGCAGATGAGTTTCGTTTTGGTATTTATTTAATACCACGGGTTTTTTCTGTACGCGGGGGAGGAGTCAAGGCCCGCTAGTTTTATATTTGATTTGCGTGGTTGGCCAGGACTTTGGGAGCCTGGGAAAATTTCGAAAGATTTTATAAGAGGACGCAGGCGCAATCAGCGGTTGCATCGAAAGCCAGGGCGTGGTGGCAATTTTCTTGGACGCATACAGGCACGCAGGTTTTTCGTCCTCGGCGGTCTTCGACGCGTTAGCGATGGCCTCGAGACGATCTGAACCGAACAAACGAAATTGTTAAAAAAAACCACGACTCGAAAAGTCGCGAACAAATTTCAACGACCCAATTTCCACAGAAAGTCGGCAAATAGGGAATTAATACGATATTATTAATTCATTCAGGAACTAACATTTCGATTTTATAAATTAATTTGTTTAGGATCGAAATAGGTAACGTGTTAAATTACATTCTGGAATTAACGAGTTAATAGAAAATTATTTTGGTAATTAAATTGTCTTTTACTAGAATTTATATGTTAATTTATGTAACTAATTCATGAATTTATTTCATTTTGTCCATGATTGTAACTGCAATCGAATTTAAAGAAAAAATTGTTTCGGGAACCTGTGCTATCTCGTGGCCATCGCTAGCGTCGCCACGCTAAAGACTATGTGGGTGTACGCATGCGACGGCCAGGCATGATCACGTACGCACACGGGCGCACAGATGCACCGGTTGCGAGTGTATGCGTTGCGTTCCACAGGATATTGGCCTAGACGCGGTGTGATTGGCCGATCGTGCAACCGGGAACACTGATGGCTGTGCAAGCCTCTCGTGCGTGCTCTTCAGTGGCGTAACACCCCGTTTTCTCGCGTTTCTTTTTTTTTTTTTGCCTTCTTTAATTACAACTATCGATTACACCACGTATTCAATTTTAAACCGACTGTATAACTGACGTTATTAATTCTGTGCCCTTGTATTGGGTCATTTATTATTTATTTTATTTTTGGTACGTTAGAGTACCGATTTATCCGGTTCTCGATAATTAACCAAGTCTCAACCTGATGGTCGTTACTGTTTATCTCTCTATACGTGCAAAGTATATACTCTGTATATACAAACTGTACGTCCAGTGGTTGTATAATTTTGCGGAGCACGTGCAGTACGAAGGAATTCCGCATAATTTCGAGAGTCTCCTTTTTCGCTTACCCATTGGCACGGATATCGCCGAATGGCAATTACCGCGCCTCTTAATCGGTTTTCTATTCTTTCAAGTTCGACACTCCTAACCTAGAGAACTCGGTGAAAGTTTGTGGCACGGTTTCAGGAAACGGGAAGTGGCGAAACCTTCGCGCTATTCGTTACGATGAATTTTCGTCATTCAAAGCAGGAAAACATTGCCACGAATTTCTTCTATTCCGTTTTCGCCAAACTTTGGTTCCTTATCGGGGGAGCTCGATGATAGCAAAGTTAAACAAATTCGGTATCTGTAGACGGTAAAACTAACAGCAATTCAGGAATGAAAAGGAATGTCTCGATATACATACATATAGTACATATGCACATCTATCGGTAGACTATTATGATTATTGTCATTCTTTTACAATTTTTGTAACTATGAGTTATATTTGGAATCTGTTGGAAGAATAATAACAAGGAATGTGTTATTGCTACTACAATTCGTATATACGGGGTGTGCCAAAAATGTTGGAGGTCGTTGAAACTCGAACCTTGAGGTGGTTCGGAGGGTGATTTGAAACAACTTTTTCCTTAGCGAAAATGTTGTCCGAGGCTTCGTTGAGGAGATATTACGAGAAAACGTCGACCAATCAGAGCGCGAGGATGCCGGTGGAGCGGCCGTGGTAGCGTACGAGAGCGGTCGCTTAGCGCATAGCGTACCGCGCCTACCGCGAGCGCTCCACCGGGATACTCGCGCTCTGATTGGTCGTGGAGCGCGGCCGCCTCGCGCTCTGATTGGTCGACGTTTCCCGTTAATAGCTCCTCAACGAAGCCTCGGACAACATTTTCGCTAATGAAAAAGTTGTTTCAAATCATCCTCCGAACCACTTCAAGGTTCAAGTTTCAACGACCTCCAACATTTTTGGCACACCCTGTATATAGATAAACTGTGACGTCCATCAGATTGAGACTCGAGTCATGAATTTATACTTGATTGACTCAGAAGGTACTCCAACAACAATAAGCATAATTTATTGCCTGTAGAATTTCATAGGGCCTCCAACATTTTTGGCACACCCTGTATATAGATAAACTGTGACGTCCATCAGATTGAGACTCGAGTCACGAATTAAAATTCATTCAATAATAATTTGTTGTCCAGAGCCTATAAAATCTTCAACCTACCAAAAAAAGATATAAATACCTAAACGTTCGAATCTAAAATACAAAGAATGAATTTCCCCACCTAATATTATTCGCCTAAAACACTAACCGATGGAATCAATTAACAACTGATTAACCAATTAACATAATTCAACGAAATTTCATTCGTAAATGCACCTCGAGAATTCTTGAAAAATTTTCGCACGGGAAATTGGACCGGTTACGCCACTGCGCGGCGCGCACACATGCGCGCGACATCGCGGTGCCGGGAGGGGAGGGATAGAGAAAGAGAGAGAGAGACGAAGATAGAGTATAGCAACACTACACACGTTTAGGACTACCCCTATGCGAGTGGAGCCATGACCAGCCTCGGTCGAGTGCGTCTTTCCACGCACAGCTCGTCAGTGGTCGCCGAGTAGGCCGTGGGAGAGGATTTCTGTTTGCGCTTCGAATTTCGTCGTGTCGCGGGTGTGCACCAAAAATTTCGACGACGAATCGTCAATTACATTTTTCATTTTTTTTCCGCGCGTAACGCGCACACCAGCCCCGTACGCCATGCGAGCCCAAGGGTGAATCGAATCTCGTACCGCGGTTGTGTTTCTCGCAGAGAACCTGGATGCAAGAGTGCACATGCACGCAAAGCTGGCGCGTCTCCTAGCGAACTCCTCGGCGGCCATTTGAACGTCGCCCATTCGTTTCGAGAAACGGAACACCGTCTCAGCGAGTAAGTCTTTACTGGATAACGTTCTCGCGAAATTGTTCGTTTTTGCTCGGTTGGTACTCGCGTCAATCTCTAGTCATGTTACTCCCACGGTAATGTTTTTCAGAATACGGTCTGCTGAGATTGAAATAGTAGTTAAATAGTAGTCGAAATAGTAGTTAATATTGCGTAGCGAATTATTATACAGGATTTCTATTCACCTGTTACCATGCAAAAGCTTGTTTATTTCTATCGAGATTTATTTTCCATTTTTCATTTTTATTTTCATTTGGAAAATGAAAATTCCTCCCGATCGTAAAATAATTGTAAACAAATGTTTAATCTTTTTGAACAAACCGCCATCCACCATTAGCTTCTGAATTATTTTAAATATCGTAACGTTGAATCGACGTCGAATAGATACCGATGATTACATTCTACAAAAGTTAACGCTACTAATGTCATTTTTAAAATCCATTTCGCGCCGACTACTAATAATCGCGGTGCGTTCCGAAACTCATCCCTTTTTCTTCGAATATTTTCAATTATCAACGAACGAAATTTAAACGTTGGACTCGCGTTCGCAAAACGATATCGCAAAGTAAATAAACGTTCGGACATCGTGAAAGTATCGCAATTCGCGAAATATTTTCGATCGATTTATGCTTAGCGCAGATAGCGTTTTGAAATATTTCATATTCTTTTAATATTATTTCCCTTTAATTTCTCTATTTTCGATAATAATCTCTCTAAATTAATAATAATAATAATAATGCATCTTTCGAATATTTTCGTGGCCAAAAAACTGCGCGCGTCTGTTTATTTACACGTTTAATATCCTCGCGAAGAAATCGATTTAATCTTTCAAACCCTGGCGTCCATGTTTGGATGCGCGCGCAGCTAGCGTTCCGCGCATGCGCGGCCATGGCGGTCTTTTTACGCATTTTACGGAGAATTAATAGAAACGGTTGAAAGAAAATGGGGGTTGTTTCCCGTGGGTGACTCACCCTCAAGGACGATAATTATTCCCCTCCTTCCTACCCTCCCCACCCTTGTATTATGGTTAAAGACCTTATGGTTCTTGATTAGGCGAAAAATTTCACTTTTGTTACGAAGCTACATTCTGCTTTTATTCATTTTATATTTTGTTAGACTGCTGTAAGAGTTAATGCAAATATTATTGGTAGTTTGTTTACTTGGTCTGATTATCAATTAACATTTATGTATTTGATGATTTTGATTGATGTTAGAGCGTCAGCATTTTAATTGCAATTCTTGTATAACGATTGCTAGGACCAAAATGAATTTGCACGATGCAGTCACACCTCTTCCAGACTCGACATTGTTAACATTCTCTTTGGCCC